GTCAAAGTTAATTATTTATGATAAAATAAATTCGTGGAAGTTTGATAATGTTTTAGCTATATTTATCTCTCTATATTGGTGGGATGCGATCTCTAACAAACATCAGATGGTACAAAGGTATGCTGAAAACTACAGGTATGCTTGGGCTGAGGGGGAGGAGGGATGGGAAATGAAAAACCTTGTTTTATTTGGATAAAAAAGAGAAACTGGAGGAGATGGGAGGGATTCTAACTTCTATCCAATTCCTTATAAATTAAATTATTATTTCCTTCGTTCATTTTAAGGTATCTAGATAAGGTGCATGTGTTCCCTTCATCTACCCCCCAGCCCCCACCCCACCCGTCCTCCCCTCCCATTTCCTCCATTGCCCTGAACCCAAGTATACCTTAAAAAAAAATATTTACTAGAAGTTTTCATACAATATTAATTTACTTACTTGATTAGCCAATGGAATTCTTCTTCATTGTCCGAACAACCGTAATCAGACGTCCATGCATGGCCTTGAAATCAAAATCTTAATCAATACAAAACCCTGATATTACAATTATGTGGTAAACGGTTGCAAATGAACTAACCTATGGTAAACTTGTGAAAACGTAGCATGTCCATCACACCAACATGAGCCAAAGCACAACCAAAAAGATCAGGTCTCTGCCAACCAAGTTTAAATCTCACCTCAGTTCAGTCATAATAAAAGGTGACCAGAAAAGAAACAAGTTGCAAATGATCAATCACCTGATTTATGCAAGCTCCAATTAGAAGCCCACCATTGCTCCCACCTTCAATACACAACTTGCTTCGCTGGGTATAGCCAGCTGATATGAGATATTCTGCAGCAGAAATGAAATCATCAAATACATTTTGCTTCTTGGAAAGTGAACCTGCTTTATGCCATTCTTCTCCATACTCTCCCCCACCACGCATGTTTGCAATACAGAAAAAGGCACCTAAATGCCTAGCTAGTACAATGCGAGAAACACTGAATGATGGTGTGATACTGATGTTAAATCCACCATATCCATATAATAAACAAGGGTGTGATCCATCCAAATCAACATTCTTTCTGCCCACAATGAACATTGGGATTTTGGTACCATCTTTACTGGGGACAAAAACCTGGTTTTGGAAACAGAAAAATGATGAATACACTGCAACCTGATCAAAAGCCTGATGTCACCAAAATCTGAAAAAAGTAGCAGTAATATACCTGATTGACATCAAATTCTGTACGATCAAATCCAGGTACAGAAATTTCACGGAATATCTTCATATCTGGAACCCCAGCTCCTAAGTTGCACCGATATATAATACCAGGAGTAAGGAAGCTTGAAAAATGAATAAAAAACATATCATCTTCACGCCTAGCAGTAATCTCATAAACTGTCCCAATGTCAAGTGGTAACTGATGCAGAAATGAACCTGTTTCTAAATCTCTTATCTGAAGCACATACTTCACATCGCTTAGATAACTCACAATCATCTTATTACCATTAACAGCATCTGCTGATTCAAGGACATCTTTTTCAGACTCTGGGATAACGTCAATCCAATTACTTGGTTCCTTTAGATCAACACAGACTAATTTGTATCTTGGAGCACCTTTATTAGTCCGGAAAGTAAACAATGTGTCATCATTTGCAATTGCTGTATACAGTGCATCAAATTGATCTATCAGCTTAACAAATGGGAGCAACAAATCTTTCCCCCTAAAACCTTGAAGACCTTCAGGAAGTGCAGACATGTCGCAGTAGTATACTTTGTTAACTGGGTCACAACTCTCCGAGATATACAAGAGAAGGTACTGTACAGTGACATAAAATGTTAGATTAATTCAAATCAAATTTTAGGGAAAAAAATGGAATTCTGCAAAAATTAATCAACATTCCGGGACATGAGATACCAACATAGCCAACATATACAAAAAAGTGAATTGTGCAATGCAATTAAAGAACAACCATCTTTGGAAAATTAAAATTTCAAAAAACCCGTTATAAATTATAAAGCATTGAAATCATTAAATTTCCAAATTAAACAAGAAAAACCATCATGAAATCACCTTATGTGCATTGCTCTATATCTATGAGCAGCATGTGCTGTAATACACAATGATGCCCCCATAATACTGAGTACCAATAAATGGAGAATAAATACTAACAAAAATGCCATTAAATTGTACTTTAAAACATATAGATAAATTCATAAATATAAACTAACCTTCCCGTCATCTGTAACAGAGCCTCCAAACATGAACTT